AAAAATTTTCCCATTGAAAAGCATTGGGACATTACTATTGGCTATTTCAATTTGCAATAGCCAATAGTAAACTAGCATTGTACCCGCCCTCTGCTGATGGACCTGATGGGGAACTGCAGCAGTTTACTATGGGCTATTGCAAATTGAAATAGCCAATAGTAATGTCCCAATGTTTTTCAATGGGAAAATCTTTTTTTTGTTTTTTCTCTATTCTGACATCGATCGTGTCAGAATAAAGAAAAAAAAGGACACAGCAGTGCTGATCTCCTTGGCGGCCGGGAGCAGGAGACTTCCGGGGCGCCAGGGAGAGTTAGCTGTTTGGAGATCAGTGTCCCTGGTTAGCAGGTAACCAGGGACGCTGATCTCACTGCAAGTGGCCGGAGCCAGTTTTAAGATCACGGCTGGCTCCGCCCAGCTGTCAGAAGCAGGCTATCGGCCGGGCAATGGCCGGCCGCTTGGCCAGCTTCGGCTTTCAGCACGTCTCCGCCGAGCCGATGCATATGCGTTCGGCTCGGTTGAGCCGCTCGGCCATGATCGAGAGCTGTTATTGTGAATAGCCCGTACAGCACCCCTTCGGTTCTGCTGAACCGAAGGGGTCCTGGGGCCGAAGCTAGCCGAAGGATCGGCCGAAGCTACGGCCAGATCCTTCGGCAGCTTCGTGAATAGACCCCATAGTCGTAAAGCTTACCCATTCCTAAACATGCCCTGAAGTTGATAATTTAAAACAGTGGCTGTAAATACCTTATTTCCCTTATTATATTACCAGCCACGTGATCGCCTAGTCTCCTCTTCTGCTTTGAGAGCTGGAGGCAGAGTCTCCATACACATCGAAAGTCCACCACTGTGTAGATGCCTGCTGTATTGACAGCGGTACTCCCTACAGGTGGTGATGTCAATCTACAGCAGGAATAGCCAAACTTTGGCCCCCCAGCTGTGGACAAAAAACAAATCCCATCATGCTTGGCTATCCCTGATCTACAGGTAGGGGTGTTCCAGGAGATGTGGCTGCCTGTGTAATCACAGGCCAACAACTAAGGTGTAGAGGACGCCATTTGTTGGCACACTCCTACAGTGGGAAGGCTGAATAACAAGGTAACCTGGGCTTCTTGTTGTTGTGACAATTTAGGAAAACAAGGAAGTTTGGCTACCTGATTTACAGCTAACGGCTTGCTGGGAGGTGTGGCTGCCTGTATAATCATATTACATGTACAGGACACAGGCAGCACACCCCTACAGGGGAAGCAATTGTTGACATAGCCACAGATATCCAGGGTGTTAACTGAGTTCTTGTTATCATAATGATTAAGGAGGAGGAGATTGTTGGCCGGATCCCCAGGTAAAAAATGTTTAATGAAAGAAAATATAAATAAAGGTTATTCACGTGATTTTTTTGAGTTTAGTGGCCACAACTGGGACCAGTTCTAGCGACTGGAGAAGAGATTGGTGGCCTGGCTACCAGGAAAGGAGAGTCTTCATTTGCAGGTAACAGTCATTTTAACACATTTTTTTTAACAAGATCACTCTAAAAAATAAAAGATATAAATCTGGAATAGGTGATTTATAACCATGTGCATAATACCAGTCATCGAATTTCCATATGTTTTCTAATGTTGTACATTTTAATCAAACAGAACATACCTGGAAGCTGTAAAGAACAGCTACATTGAGTTCAACTACTGCCTGGTCTTTCCACAGGGATGCCAGTTTGTTAGTTTCTAATCCCATTCTTCTTCCAACTTCCTGAGGGATTAAGCAAACAAAAGGGCATGCTAGTCTATTTTATTATAAAAGCAGAGTGCATAGTGCTGATGTTTTGGACAGTGTAGTAATCAAGAAATTTCAGTTTACTAATGTCAGATACATTAACAATGTAATATGATTAGGTAATAAGGGTTACTTTCCTACATAATTGTACAACGTTTGTGAAACACTTCGCAACCATGACCAGTTTAAAGCTGGCCCCAAGCATAGCTCAAATTATAAATTTAACAATATTTGCCAACAACTGCACTATGCATGTGAATACTCTGTAAACTGTACTAGCCTGACTTTGGGTTTATATGGCCAAAGTTTGATGTATGTGTATTAAATTGTATATACGGCCCACAATTTTTTTTTCTAGTTTTGGATAGGGTAGGGGTTGATCCCAGCAAAAAAAGATTTTGCTGTCTTTGTCCCATCAGGGAGATTTTTCATCACTTTTTGCCCCCAAAGATACAACAGGAAGTAAGAGGAAATCTCTCCAAAATGAGGGGAAATCCACCGTTAGAGAGTTGTTACCGCAAAAGGAAATTCCCATTGGATTTCCCCTTCTCTCTTTCCTGTGACAACTCTAAAATTGTGTTTTCCATCATTTTTTGTACTGGATACAATGGTCACTGGGACAAAGAGAGAAGGTGAATCTATCCAGCTAAGACAGGGACAGCAATAAAAACAGGACTAGGGATTTAACATCTTCAAATTCTATCAAAAACAACAAAAGTTTTGGCTTCACATGCACTTTAAAGCTTATTTAGTCCGAGTCAGGCCTATCTTTGCAGTCATTATGTATATGGCAAGTTATGGCAAATGTCCTCTAAACGCATATAAATGCAGGTTTGACAGTGTCATTGTGAATGAGGCCTTACTATAAGTGGCAAGCCCAGTGTTATGTTGCAAATCCATTTTGTCTAAATACCAGAAATCCTAAATCCATCAATGTACAGCTTCCTTTTTTTTCACAAGACAAGAGCTTTTTATAATAGCAGTTGCTACTACCCTGCTTATTTTCTTTGATTTGTGATATTTTTACTTTCTTTTTTACTTGCTAACACTTTGGTGACAGGACTTCTGTAATGCTTAATTGCTCATTGACATTACTACCAATTAGTCCTTATGTTATTAACTGAAAGTTGTTATTGGATTTCACAATGCAATCTAATTACAGTGATTACCAACTTACTTCAGCATGCTGATTAAACTGAATGGGAAATAGGGGTTAGAGATTATACTGCAATTCAGAGGAAGCTGACCGTAACCCATGAAACCAGTATAAGGTTTTCACAACATACAAGAAATGGGTGGTCTACGTGTTAGTTCCTGTTGGACAAATTTCCCATGCTACTGATCAGTCATCTCAGCTATAAAAAAAACCTGCTGCAACAGTTTCATACCGTACAAACACATGCAAAACAGTTAAGCCACCCTTACTACGCCAAGAAGTCTTCCTTCAATAAGGCAGTGCTAAGTACAATGACCATGTGCAATGTACTACTGTGCAATGTAGTACCTATATAAACAGATTTATTTGGTGAATTAAGATCTGATTTGGATGGCTTGTTATTAGTTATTTAACATTGTATATACTGTAGTCCTGCTGCTGTGCACTGCTTTATTTTATCAGGCTGATAGTAGTAAAAGAGAGACAATATAATTATACAAATCAATAGACAACTGGATTATTTAATAAAGCAGTGCATGTACAATATATCTGATAGAAAGCCATCAGGAATTACATTTCACTTATTTGATTAGTTGCTGTTTGCTAGGCGTTCAAACAGCAAATGTATTTGCAAGAAAAGGCTGCATTTAACCCACTTTGCCTGTAATGCACCTCAACAGGACGTGCTGCTTCCAAAGAAATGCAGGACAGCACAAAACAGGTCAAACACCACCTCTGAACTGCCATATGTACTGCTCAGTTGAAGTCAATGGGAACTAGTGATGAGCTCAGGTTCAGAACAAACCAGGTATGAACCTTAGCTCCTCCAAACTCAGAAGGAGCTCCTTCTGAACACAAAAGGAAACTCCTTTTGCGCAGCCCAATCAACTGCTGGTGGGTAATTCCCTGTCCTCAGCTTGACATATCCCAAAGGGTGGGATGCAGTGGCACCATTGGCCTTATATGGCTACATGTCAATATATTTGGTAGATGAAATTTAGCTACTATGACTATGTGGCCATAGACGGTAAATTGCTTCAGCACAAGCATTCTGTCCCTTTGTTTACATGCAACTCCGTGGCGGGGAATGCCCGTACATCAGCTGATTGGGTGGGGGTGCCCATAGCACTTTTCAGCTTTGTGTGCATTTGGAATAGGCATGAACTCAGATTCTAACTGGGTTTGTTCCGAACCTGAGCTCATGCCTATTTCAAACGCAAACAAAGCCACACTTCTCTGGAAAGAAAGCACCATAACATGCCAGAGCATACATTTTGTTTCACATATGCTTTCGGCTCGACTGAGCCGCTCGGCTAAGTTCGGGAGCTGTACGGGCTATTGTGAATATATATATATTACAGTATGTATATATATACATATATACAGTATGACTTTGTGGAGGAAAATACAGTAGGTTTTAATTCAATCAAAGCATCTGTTGCTCAAAGTAGCCAATCAGAATTTTGAATTCATTTTCATTTTCTCTGTGTTTATATGCCACATGAACAGCAGACAGTTTCTGTTTCAGGATAGTTTCATAAATGAGGTTGAATTTTTTTTTTTTAAACTGCCATTTTAATTTGGCATAAAACTCACAGGGTTATTCACAAAAGGGTGAAGTGTTTGGAGAAGGCAGGAGAAGTGAACGATCTAGGACAACATATTTCAACTGGAAAGGAAATGGAGAATTTTTCCAAATCAGATACTTTGGCCTTGATTGTTCATTTCTCCTGCCTTCTCCAAACTTTTCACTCTTTTGTGAATAACCTTGACAATGTTACCTGACATTTCTGAGATCCATATCCACTGCAAATTAAAAAAATGAATATATAAATGTGCCCTTAAAGCCTAATAAAATTACCTCTAGCAAATTGTAACGCTGAACATCACAAAAATCCCGAACACCAATTTCTGTACCCATGTACCATCCATTGAAGGGACAAGCTGGAAATTCAATGCCTCCAACTTCAAGCAGCATGTTGGAAACTGCAGGCAAGGTATACCACCTTAAATTCAGTTCCTTAAACCACTCAAACCTTTAAGAAACAATAAAGCTTTATTTATAATTTGAAGGCCTAAAGGTACCTTTTCCAGTTTAAAGCACATCAATCACCTGTATAAAACCCTTCATTAGGATTTAATGCTCTCTGAATAGATCCTTACCTAGTTTAAACTATATCAATAATCACACATAAAACATTTGCTCCAACATGTTAAAGGCCCACAGATGCAGAAACAACAACAATAAAATGTAATAGGCTTGACTTTTAAACTTCAAAATTAAGCCCCACTTGCCCACTATCCCCTAAAAAAGTACACTTCCCATGCTCTTACTGGGCAGGGGAACTGTTTCAAAGTCAGGCTTTTAGTTACAAAATTCCAAAACCAGGATCAGAGGGGCACAGAGAAGAGGCTTTTTGGGTAACATCAGTAACAAGGGCACCTTGTAATATCTAGTCCTAAGTAGGATTTCTACTTTTAGATCTTTCAAATTGTTAATTAGTTTGTATTAATTTCATATTGTACCTATAGGTAAAAAAAAGCATAACATCAGTTAAGATATAATGGCACTATTACATCTGAACATACTGTATGTATTCGATCTACCCATACCCATAGAAAGATCTATGGGTACCCTAAGATCAAGTACGTGTTCTTGTAAGAGGAACTGTTGGTGAGACATCTACCCAACCTCCACTAGACTTCAGCACCAACAGGACCTGTTATGGCTTTTCTCAGTGACTAACCTTTAGTCACTTTAGCAGACGTGCAAAAGGGCTATTTCAAGTTTCATATGGAGAAAGTTGAAGAACAATCACGTATCAGATGTAGTGATATTCCAGCATGTTGATATGTCTTTTTAAGTGATAGTGAGCCCTTTTAATATTTGGAAGATTTATTTTGGCTTATGAGTTACCCTTGCAGATGTTTACTCACATTAATTGTGACTAACAGGTCACATGTTGCCATCCATAGTGAAAGAGGAAATTAACTTTGGAAGCTGTGTTCAAAAAAGGCATAGGACTAGTTACCAGTATTCTTCCACATTACCAACTTCCAATGCCTTTTTCTGTAGATGTTCTTAGATCTAACACTACAGATATACAGCTGAAGTGCCTAGGCACCTGCACAAATCAGGAAGAATACTTCCATTTTCAGGAGGGTACATTGTAAATATATAACTTATAACAACTGGCATTTCTAAAGGTTCCCTTTAAATAACAAATCTTTAATTTTAGGTCCACTTTAACTGAGCTGTTTCTAGAAGGGGAGTATTAACCTGTTTTCCTAGGTAACCAAGCTTGGCCTGCTGGGCATTTGTGGGTAGGTTCTTTTCTTTAGCATCCCCCAAAACTCATTATTGATGATGTTAGGTTGTAGGATTACTGGGTAGTGCTGTATGTCAAAGATCAAAATCAGATTTTCTATTTCAACTGAAGGTACTGCCCAACAGCATGTTCTGTTTGTTTGAGTATCACATTAATGGCTTACCTAGGGTGCTCCATTATAACTTCACATATAAGATCTTTTGGAATTTCAAATAATTCTGGGTCTTCGCCATTTGCCTGCAGCACCAAGGGAAGAATCTCAAAGCGTTCATATCTTGGTTTCCATCCAAGTTGTATACAGAGCTGTAAAAAAATTGTTTATGCTGCATAAAAATTTTCAACTGCTTGATAGTGTCCATTTAGATTTATATAACATAAACAGAGTGTATATTGGGAGTCCAAGTTTAGATTATTTTTATTTCAGACCATTAATAGTAGGATTGTAAACAAATTACCATATTACATATTTATGAATGATTGAATGTAGGTCATCATATTGAATATATTGAATGTAGGACCCAAACGCATCATATAGCCAGCTACTGCCTGTCTGTTCCTCCAATGAGTGCTGGATGAACAGAGAGAGCGGAGGGAGTGAATTACAGTCACTCCTCTCTACAGGGAGAAGCTGTGAGCTAAGCGAGCTAAGTGATCAGCAGTTTGTGATTAATCAGTTTTCTAGATATAGCGCCAGCATGTGACAGCTGCAGTGTCACACACCGGCTCAAACTATTGGGAAGAGTACATTTAACTCTCCCAATACTTTACCTTTAAAGTTGAATTCCAGGCAAACAGATAAAGACATAATTTAAATACAAATACAGGAGCTGCTTTATTTTACATGGGATTTGTATTTCTATCTTTCCAGTTTAACATAATGAAGTCAGGCTGGTGACCTAACTTTCTCTGCTGCTTATAAGCAACACAGCCTGGTTCCATCCCCACACATAACCTGTGATTAGACAGCTAGAGAACATCAGTATATTGATCAGTATATTGATGATCTCTCTACTTTCTCCTCCTGTTAGCATGTTCATTGTCAGCATGTGTCAATGGCCACCTATGGACATCTGAATGGCCACAAGCACTGCCCCTCATCTCCCAGTGCTGTATAGGGGACTTCAAGAAGCTGATATCAAGTCAAAATGTAGGCATTTCTACCAGTTACATTTAAAATAAATGTAATGATTAATTTAAAAAACTGTACAAAACTACATTAATTTTTTTTTTTATTATATGACTGAAGATCAGTTTTAACTGCTAGCATTGTAGTTTAATAACCTTTAGCAACCAAGATGAATCCATCTAGACCTGGCTCCAGCAGAGTGAATTTCATGGGTTATTGTTCCAAAAAATTATCACCTATAGCTAAGAACTATTTAATGAATAATGCCCTATGCTAAATTATTTTGTTTGTGCCAATAACACCTTCAACAAACTCATTATAACTACATCAACCTCTCCACGACTGGAAACAGGCTTGTACATTTAGTTACATAATTGCAATTAATAAAAAGAAGGCTTTTTCACAAAAAGAGGTTGCACATACTGCCACAGAACATTGTTTTAGCATTGACACTCCATAAATCGCATACCTCTGTGAACTCCACACTGGCTGGATCCCCAATGACAATCCCATCTGGCATTTCAAACCCTGCATAACGGATTAGCTGGCTGTTCCAGACGCGAAAGTCATGTTTCCCATCAGTCCTCTGAGGAAATATAGTAATTGCTGACCTAAAAGAAGGACAACATAAGATTCTATTGATCTATACATAGAGTGTATACCCAGACTACAGGAAAAAGAGTTTTTGTGTCCTCAGGGCTCGATCAAGGGAGAAACTAAAATATTTCTATTTGTGTGTTTATGTATGGTATGTGTACGTGTGGCAAGGCTTTGGGCATCTTAAACACAAACAAGGCATTTTAATCAGGACGCTTGACTAGTCTCACTATGATACAGTTATAGCTAAGAGTTATACCAGAAAATCTGTCATATCATGCCATCAGACAGTACTAATGGTATGCAAAATGACAAGCCTTAAAGTAGATCTAAACCCTAACTGGATCACATTTAGTTTGCTGAAGTACTGTTTAACATAAACAATTGCCATTTTTTTTAAACTGTTTTCACCTTTTTTATAACCTTTTTAGCATCTCAGTACTACTGATCTCCTCTATCCACTTTCGCCACTTCCTGTCTATATGCATTCACTCCAGTTACGGCTGCACATTGTTGCTATGGATTTGCTTCTTTCAAATGACAACAGTGGTCCATGCCTATATAATGTGGTTTTGGCAGAGTTGCATGAAATCTCCACCAGGAGTGGATGTGATAGGATGACAGCAGGAGCTCATCTGGGAGACAGCAGTCACCCCATAACTGGAAGTGCCTGGGCAAAGAGCTCCATAGCAGCATCACTAGGGGGTCTATTCACTAAGCTGCCGTAGGCAGCAGAGTGAATGACCGACCTGAAGTGAAGTGAGCCGAACACTGTTGGGCTATTCACTTCAGGCTGGTACAGCTGATTTCAGCCGTATATCGGCTGAAATCAGCCGTACATCTGCTTGCTTCGCATGGCTTCAGGTCTGCCGAACATGCTCAGCATGTTCGGCTGACCCGAAGTGCAGAAGGAGTTCGACTCAGCCGATCCAACATCTGACAGCTAGCTCCACCCAACAGTTTTGTATTGTCCGGCGGTTCTGCTGCCGAAAAAAAAAAAAACCTCTCCCGGGCGCTCTGGGAGCCTCCCGCTCCCGCCGCCCAGGAGAGAAACACTGCTTTTTCTTTTTTTTTATTTATTCTGACACTGCTGTTTCTTTTTTTTTATTCTGACACGGAGCTGTGTCAGAATAGAAAAAAAAACACAAAAACATTTTTGCCCATTGGAATGCATTGCCAGATTCCTATTGGCTATTTCAATTTACGCTGAGGCATATGCGTTCGGCTTGACTGAGCCGCTCAGCCACGTTCGGGAGCTGAACCGAAGGGGTCCTGGGGCAGAAGATAGCCGAAGCTATGGCTAGATCCTTTGGCTGCTTCGTGAATAGACCCCAAGGTGTTCTGTGAATAGACAAGGGGAGATCCTGTCTTTTACCAGCCTCTCCTCTGCCCTTGCCTTTTAAAAACAAGCCGGCAATGACAGTTCCAAAATCTCTGTACTCACAGGTTCCTTTAAATTGTGGCTTCTCTCTCATTTCAATACACAGTATGCATTACCTTTAAAATGGTAGTTTAAATGAAGAGGTCTGGATAAATCATGTCCTACAATCGACAATAAACATGTAGAGATGCCATGTAAAAAATGAAAACATTTTTGGAGGATCTTCTCAAGCTCAAATACCAAGCCATAGCTAGTAATCAAAATTCACCCTTTCTTTGTTTAGTGCAGCTAGATCAATTAAAGAATTCTACCCAGTTTCTCTCTTACGTAACTTTGCAAATTGCTCTTTGTCTTACAAAATACAGACTTAGGTCTGGCTCCTCCAAAGCAAGTTAATTTACCTTATATTTCCACCATTTGTGGCAAACTTTATGTGACGACAAATAAGCTCAAACATATCTTTAACTGTCTTGCATGTTCGGGCATCAAACACCTTGAATGAAAAACAAAATCATATACAGTCATTTAAAAAGTAAGATTACAAAAAAACAAAGTCCATTACATTCAGCCTGTACTAATACTTGTAGTGCTGATACAGTTAAAAAAAGCAATCACAAGATCCATGTGTGAGGTAGCTTCCAATATATCCTACAAGTGTGTAAAAAAATAGCTTTTGACTTTATCAGTGGCAGTCAGAATAATTCACTGGATCAATCTCTCCACCTAAGACTTATACTAATAATAGCCTCAGATAAGGTACACTGTCAGAGTTGACTGCTAAGCCCCACCCTCACACATTCCTATTGGCCCATAACTATGATGGGCAGCCTCCTAGCCAATAGAACTGTGCAGGAGATAGCAGTGGACGGACAAGCTTTGACATTATCAGGAAGTTCCAATGCTTTGTGAGAAATTTGGGGTGTGACAGAAAGATTTTGAAGGCTGCATCAGAAATGTGAAGATACTTCTATGTCTCTGCACTTCACACTTGCAGTAGTTTGCCCCTGTTGCCCCCAATTATGCAGTCTCATTAAGTCAAAAACCCTTTAAGATGTGCAAATAAGCAGCAGAAAGGACAACACAGTCAAGCAGTTCAAATAAAGCAATGCCAATTTAGGATTTTAACAGTTTAGACTGGTATATACTGAAGTCGTATAAACAAATAAGAATATTAGTTATAAGTCACTGAATGTCTGTTACCTGTAAATTGTTCCACTGAATCCGGCCTACGCACCTAGGGGCATTTCTCCATGCCTGTTTAGCAGCAAAGATTAGCTCTTCCATAGTTAGTTGGTATGTTCCAGTTTGTTCAATATCCTTGCTAATGGTTTCTAGTCTGTTCAGATAATTTTCTATCTGTGGCCTGAAAACAATTGTTTATGAGTCTTAAAACCAAGGTGCACATCATGTTGCTGTGTTAGACCCATTATTTGCCCATTATTATTCCATTATTACCCACTATGATTCCAATATAACCAATCATTTACTGTGCAGTGTTTGAGTTTCCTTACTGACCAGTCCCAAATATGGGCCTATAGTAAATTTTCATTAGACAGCAAGAGCAGGTCACTGCCTTCCATAGGTTTCCACTCATGAGTGTAAAATGTTGATATTTTACTTTGGCCTACACAATTTACCATATTAGGCATAATACACAATTATTTTTAGATAATCTATCTATTAGATAAATTTATCAGGAGTACATTGTGTTTCGTTTTCCATTAGAAATACCTTTGTGCTGGTAATGAAATAACTTTCTTAACATGATGTCAGATTGACTTACTCTTTAAATGAATCGTAATATTGGTTTATAAACTCTATTGCTTGAGGTAAAACAACATCCTGTGACACTGGCTTGTCTCTTGGACCTCTTATATAGCACTTAGGGTTCATAACTGATCCATGACAGACTGATGATTGGCAGCCAAGTTTCTGTAAAGTAAATTGAAGTATAGTGTAAGTATACAGGACTGAAAAAACTATGACCTTGTTAAAACAATGCAATAAAAATAAGCCTCCCATGGAGAAGGAAGGATTTGGAGTAAATACCATTTTCACATATACCGAGAATACAAGTCAGGGTAAAATGACACTACACTCAGGAATTAAATCTTAAAAACGCATTCAAGTACCTTAACTATTAACAAAAATGCATCTTATTTGTGTATCACTCGGCTGTAGATCCTCAAATCATCTCTGAATTGGTGCTGACACCGTCCTTCCTTCTGGAGGGTGGCTACTTTTGTTCCCCATGGTCCATGAGTGTGTTGTAAAGTAGCCATCGCTCCAAGCTCACCCCCGTTATGGACTGCAATCTCATGTTTAGTTTAATCACTTGTATGGAGATAATAGTCCCTTACAAGAGCGAGCTTTGAGCGGTGACTACTTTACAACACACGCAGGGACTATGGGGAACAAAAGTAGCCCCCTCCAAAAGGAAGGACAGTGTCAGCACCGATTCAGAGATGATTTGAGGATCTACAGCCGAGTGATACACAAATAAGATACATTTTTGTTAATACTTAAGGTACTTGAATGTATTTTTAAGATTTAATTCCTGAGTTTAGCGTCATTTTAAGTCAACAATAACATGATGCACTGATAAAAGTATGATAGAAAGCATGTTTTTTTGCAACTTAAAGTGTATGTAAAGCCAAAACGTGTTTTTTCATTTTAAATTAGAGTATGGAAGGGTTAAACCCTTATCAGGTTATCTGTGCTGCCAGTGTCCCATTAGGGAGATTTCCCTTCACTTCCTGACCTGGAGAGGCAACAGAATATGAGAGAAGTGCTCTCCAAAATGAATGGAATTTCTTTCTTAGAGAGTTGTTACAGGAACAGGTGAGATTGTTCCCTCACCTCTTGTTCTGGTTACAGCTCAATAGTTTTGGATATCCCCCTCACTTTCAAATGTCACGAGAACAAACAGAGGAATGAATATTCTCAGTGAACACACACAGCAATAAAAACTTGAAGGGCCTAACCCTTCCCCATTCTGTCGAAACTAAAAAAAAATGGCTTTGCATACACTTTAAGGAACTTCAAAATAACAAAACAATAGATTATTTTAATTAAAAGGAAAGTCGCTGAAATGCCTAAATATAAACAATTAACAATGTGAAGCCTTTTTATTTCACATAAGAATGACACAACTTTCATACATTTTTCGAAATGAATCTATTTTGAAAAGTTTGTGAATCGTGGGTGATAGTTGTGTGAATCTTAGGTGGAAACATTTATAAATAGAACCCTTTACCTTCCTTGATTTGAAATGGCAAAGCAGCTAATACAAATTGATTTACTAGAAGCAAGTAGGCTATTTACTTTTCAAGGGAATTTTAACTATACAAGGGAATTTTCCATAGCTTAGTGAATGTGATGAAAACTCACTGTGCAAAAAATAGTCAATTTAAGTGCAAGGAAAGAATATAAAAAAACTTTTTTTGCATTTTGCTTGTACGTGAGTGGATGATGGAAGTCAGCAGAGGTTAACCTCATTCACTAAGCTAAGGTCAAATTCCCCTTCGAAGTGAACAGCCTATTTGCCTTTAGTAAATCAACTCCATAGTATGCAGCACACTCACATATAATGGAGTTCAGTTACTAAAGTAGCAGAGCATACTCAATAGCCAAAGTGAATGCTCACTTAAGCCAGGTATAAATGCTTTGAATTTCGGCTGGTTCTTGATGAACCGGAAGATATACGATGTGTGGGTGCCGCTGTGGGCACCTTTCCGACTGGCATCCTTCGATCAGCTGATCGAAGGTGCATGTCGGAAAATTGTCAGCCAAACAGAGCTTGCAGCCAATGAGTATTGTGACGGGGGTGGTGGCCGCTGTGAGTATACAATGAAAACAACAGGGAAATCACACATCAACGCTCGCAAGCGTTGATGGAGGAATCTGTTCTATTTTCTTTGTTCAGCCGGTAGGTTGAACACAGAAAAAAGAAGCATGTATACCCAACCTTAGTTTAGTACATATGTGAACCTGTGTTCACTTTGAATACCCAGTCACATACAAGAAAAAAAAGCTGATTTTTGTGCTTGCAAATGGTTGGATGACTGATGTTAACACAGCTTTACCATAGTTACTAAGCTAGATTAACAGTCACCTTGCCATGAGAACATTACTCATTTAATAACTCAACCCCTATGCAGGGCCGTCGTCAGGGGGGTACGGCCGATAGTCATGTAAGGGGCCCGGGAAGCCTTGGGGCCCAGGCACCTTACATGTCTATCGACATGTAGCGACATCGAGTAGCGGCTGCCATCTTTAAATCTGCCAAGTGCCCACATAACATTTAATATATTGCCGGACTGGCAATATATTAAATGGAAATCATTCCCTGGAGGTCCAGAGGGGAATCAATATGAGCTGCATCTCTTGCTGATGCAGATCATACTGATCGCTCCCTCGTGGTGCCGCCACTGACTGGCAGGGAGCGATTAGTATGGTCTGCACCAGCCAGAGTGCAGAGCACACTGATCCTTCACTCAACCACCAGACCAGGATAATCCCCAAGTGCCACACTGGACCCAGGGATGCAGCACCCCTTCCTGCAAAACAGGTAAGCAGGATAGAGGGACATTTTTTAATGAACTATTTTTACTTTTAATAGTTGTGAGAGCGTGTTGTTTTTTTTTAAATGAAGCTGTGTGTGTTTTTTTTTAATGAGTGTGTGATATGTGTGTTTGTTTCATTACGTGCGTGTTTTTTTAACCACTTCCTGCGGGTTGATGTAAATGTACGTCTTCCGCTGGAAGTGGTTATACCAAGAATATGGCTGCTCCTGCAGCTGTGTTCTTGGTACCATTTTAGGGCCTGTTCACACCACGTGCATCGCATTGCGGCCGGCTCACTTATTTTTTTATTTTTCGGGCTGGAGGGGGCGTGACGGGCCATTGAAGTGAATGGCGCCATAGCCACGACCTCCGGCCGCAATGCGATCGCCCGCATATTGTGCCTGCGGTCCGGTGTGGTCAAAATGCTGCAATTTTTGAACACACTGCTGGCTCAATGTGCCTTGCGATCCCATGCGGGTGATCGCATTGCAGCCGGAGGGCGTGGCTACGGCACCATTCACTTCAATGGCCAGCCACGCCCCCTCCAGCCCGGCAAAAAGGTGAGCAAGCCGCAATGCGGGCAGTGCGTTCTGGCCAGAGTCGGACTGGAATGCACTGCTTATGGTGTGAACTAACCCTAAGCCCTGTGTCCAGTAGACATGTGCGATTCATTTAGGAAAATTTAGTTTTCTGGATGAAATTCGTTAACGGTAGTCTGTACGCATTTTCGTTTGTGGACAAATTTTCATTGCAGCAAAGTAAAAAAAATATTTAATGTCACTTTGCTGCAATGAGACGAACGATACGAACATGAAACGGAAATGAACATTCGTACAGACTACCGCTAACGAATTTCATCTAAATCCGGAAAAAGAAATAACGCAAAATCCGAATCAAAACAAGATGAAACTAAACATTTTTTTTTGCCAGTGCACACTGGGTCACGAAGCCCTGCGTCCAGTGGGACACGAAGCCCTCCGTCCAGTGGGTGATGAAGCCCTCCGTCCAGCAGGTGATGAAGCCCTCCGTCCAGCGGGTGATGAAGCCCTCCTTCCAGCAGGTCACAAAGCCCTCAATCCAGCGGGTCATGAAGCCCTGAGTCCAGCGGGTGATGAAGTCCTGCGTCCAGGGGGTCACGAAGCCCTCCGTCCAGCGGGTAATGTGATTGTGGGGGGACATTAGAGTGTACGTTCCTCTGTACAAAGACTGATGTGACTGTGGAGGGGACATTAGAGTGTAAGCTCCTCTGTACAGAGACTGATGGGACCGGGACTGCAACTATTCAACTAAGTTGAGTAAAATCGATGATGGAAAATGTTGTTCAACGTTTTCCATCATCGATTAGTCGGCTTTCGATTAGTTGCCACTGTTTGCGGCTCCACACACATTGCACACTTCACGCCGCACCTCCTCACCGCCTCTCCCAGCTCTGAGCTCTTTCCCGCCGCTGCCCGCCAAGATGATCACGTCGTTGCGGGGAGACTGCAGTGTGGGGGAGCGGCAGCTGCCGACAGTCCCAAGATCTCGGGGGAAGAAAGGAATGTTGCTTGAAGAGTGTGCAGGTAAGACTACCTGCACTCCACCCACCCCACATGCTGTATAAATGTATTGCTGGGATTTGTTGATGGTATATTGCGCTGTATATGTACCAACAGCTATAGAGGACCACAAATCTCAGCAATACGTTGTACACTGTATGTAGTATTGCTGGGATTTGTAGTCCTCTATAGCCTGTGCTATTCTGCATTGATTGCTGTATAATTTCACATTTCACTGTATTGCACAACACACTTTTTTTTGGCTTCCACCGCTCCAAGCTTGAGTGACATGATTGGCTCAGTGTTCTCTGTACAGCACTGCGGTATATGTCAGAGCTATATACATGTATAATCATAGGGTGTGATTGTGGGGGGACATTAGAGTGTAGGCTTCTCTGTACAACACTGCGGTGTGTATATATATATGTCAGAGCTATATAAATGTATAATAATAACAGCGTGACTGCCTGAGCGTGGCAACAGTGCGGGGGGGACCGGGCGGTGCGGGGGCAGCCTAAAGCCATGTAAGGGGCCCCGAAATTTCTGAAGGCTGCCCTGCCCCTATGTATTAATGTCCTAACAGTGACCCAATGCATATAATCTGCCCATCTGAAGAGTCAACATCATCTCATCAGATCATCAGATTATTATCAGACTGCATAAAACAATACATAACCTTAGGAAATCACTGCTAAAAAAGCACACTGTTGGAAAGACAGAAAACATTTATCTGCTCCTCAAATATGCACTTACATGCATGAATTGGGAGAAGAAAAAAAGTTTAGTAGCTTTGCCATATCAACTGTTTATTGCACATTGCCTTCTTTACATATGTCAATACCAGACCAGTGTGTTGGAATAATGGATGATATAGCATCCAGCTTAAATGGGTGTTTTATCACAACTTTTCATGTAGAAATTGTTGTAAGCTATTCCCTGTTCAGTTTCCACTTCAGCTTACTACACAAGCAAAGGACAAATATTTAAATACCAAACTGCTAAAACATTAGCAAATCATTGCCAGGGATATTGAACATGAATTGTATTATGATAAGCAGCATAATGGTTTGCATACTATTACACATTTTTCATATTAACCTCACAAACCTGTTTAGCTTTGAGGTGTAAAGTATCCTGTAGAATCTTTCCATTTTCATAGTTTTTTAGCTTCCTGTATCTTGGAAAACTTTCTTTTTTACAAGAATTCTTATGGTTTTCTGGAACTTTATTCTGAAAGAGATTAGTAAGAAAGATTTTCTTGAACTGTGTATATCATTAGTAACATATATAGAGTTATTGTTTAAATGTGAACAAAAACAAAACAGGAGGTATAGCTTAGAGCAGCCTTTCTCAACCTTTTTAACATGATGGAGCCCTTAAAATAACTTTCCGGTCTCAGAGAAGGCCTGCTAATAATTACTATACCTACAGCTCGTGGTACATTTGCATGATGGTCAGTGGGAAGAATCCCCCCGTACAGATAGCTTAAATGATCATTGGTGTCAATGATTATCTGAGAGGCAGAAATTGCTATCTGCTTAATAAACCCCTACCAAGCTCTGGAGGAACTCTAGGGTTCCACTGGTTACGATTGTCAGCATGTCTGCAGGTTGCCTAGTTATGTCTTATATCATGGAATCTGAGGAATCATTTATACCACAAGTCTAACAAGTAGAGGCACTCACTATCAGCGCCTTGGGACCTCCAACAAAGCCTGATCCTAACACATAAATCAAGTTAACTAATGATCCAAAGAATGCCTTTTGTGGAACCCAATTTGGCCTAAAAGTCTACTTCATGCACCAAACTTACATACACATATTAATTGATGCAGAGATTTACATAAGTAACTTATTGCTGCACATTATGTCTGTCACAGATAACTTTCTGCAAGTGTCAGGAGGTGATTAGATAATGTACAAAACTGTAAACATGAAGCAATGGTTGTATATTGGTACTGCCTACTCAGATTGCTGCTTTAGGCCAGTAAATGTCTGATGGTAATTACAATATTCGTGCAAATTATATTAAACTTATATTTGTAATATTAGTTAGTAGTAGTATTATATTTTATATCTTCTGTTAAAGCTTAAATATTTTGGCAAACAGTTTTTCCACGCCCAGTCTGCTGATTTTACAATGCAGGAGCAGGAGCAATCTGTCAAGTCATGAGTTCTGCATGAAGTAGAGCCCTGTTGGCTCCTACTTTGAATCCACACTCTCCCTGTCTAATGCTGCTGTGAAAGGGAGAACAGAAGGTGATATCAATACAGATTTAGGTACTTAAGCTTGCTTAAGAGTAAATGCATTTTTTTCAAAAGAATATGCAACTTCAATAAATGGTATTATTTATATCTGCTTGTAATTTAGCTTTGATTTGTGGGTTAACAATTGTTTATAGTATTCAATGAAAAGCATATAAGTATGGTATTGACATTTACAACGTTGTCATTGTTAGTATTTACTATTTAGCCATTGTCATAAACGTCATACGTCGTCTCCATCAAGATACAAGCTACACTGGTGTTGTGCTACTTAGCATGCCACTTAAGCTTTTCTCTCAGCTCTGTCTCCTACAGCTTTCTAGGCAGCAGCCCCAGAAAAGCTATTTGCCTGACTCAGGTAGGTCATGAAAGTACCAGTTTGGAAGAAAAAGTGAAGCTCTACAAACGTTTGTGCTTGTATCAAGAAATGAAGCATATTCTGCGTACAGGGGTGAACCAAAAAGCCAGTAGACACAATGACAACAATAGGTGCAACTACAATTCATACAGGAAAATTCACCACCTGCTGGAAAGGTTCCTTTATCAAGCACATAACAGATAAAGTCCCCACTTAAGAAATTAAAAAATGCATTTCACCAGAGATATATATATATATATATAGATCTATAGCTATAGATATATATCTATATCTATAGCTATATATCTATATAGATATATATACACAACATATTTGATACCACTTGGAATTTAGGATAGGAACAGATCATATATTCATATTTCAATCATTTACAGCTTTCCAATAAATGTTTAAATTGTACTTACCTCTAAAGTAACTTTAATTTGAGCCATATCTTTAGGCGGGCCATTGATGCTGGCATCCTCCTGTTTTAAAGAACTTGAAAAATAAAATATACAGTTTAAAAGATGGAACAAAGCTGCTTTCTTATTCAAATGTATTATTATAATTACAGAAATATTTTCCTACTGTTTTATTACCTTCCCTTTTGTTCACTTATAAAACAAAACCAATGTCCTACAGTATGTCACATGGCATGTTAAATGGCTTGTGAGCTGGATTAAATCAGCATAAGTGTTACCCAGAAAAATGTACCCTTTGTCCCAAATTCCTCCTGAAATAGCAGCACAAATGTGATTCCCTGGCATAATTGGGTCTACAGCCTCTTAACTGTATATGTGCAGTGTGAGATCATCTAAGGCAGCCTTCACTAAATGTCGGACCACGGTCCGGACATGGACTAAGTGGCGGTTCTGTCTGGACCACAATTGCCAACCTGCGCTGGGTCATGGCTGGCTGATATTCCTGTGCTTGATGACTAACCTTTAATGCTCTAATGTGTGAGGGTAAATCTACAGTTGGCTCAGTGAGAGGGTGATGTTTGTGCCACTATTTTTGCCAGGAACACTTGGGATTTACCTAACAGGGCGATCAGCTGCAGGTAAATGATGGGATGAAGGTAATAGACACACAGCATGTAGAATAACCCACAAAGTTGTCATGTTTCACTAAAGTGCATCTCTAAAGGACACTATATAGAAGCAGATTAAATAACAACTCTATAATTCTACAAAATGTACACTATAATTTTACAAGGTATGCAAGTATATTCCATAGAAATTATGTGACAAAAAGACACTTATTGAATAAGGCAAAACCGGATAGTGACCCACTGCATCTGATCCATAGCCATGTTTTATTGTTAAAACGACTTTAGTCTAAAGTAATGAAAGCTAGAATGTAGTTGGTGGCAGCTGATTTCTTTGATTCTTTGCCTGCATTGTACTGGCTTCCTCAATGAGACCAAGGGTTCGTTCATGTGCTCATCCTACAGAGACTAACATTGTTTACTCTGACAAGAATAGAATAACAGGCAGAATAAATCAGTTACTTTTTTTATCACAAAGACTTTTTATTTTTTTACTTGACAAGGAAGTAATCCTCATAAGATATCATCTGTAAAATTCCATCACATAAAAAGTTTTATGACTGAAGACTGCGTAACTAGAATATCATACTACCTAAGGAGATTGGTAAGTTGGATAACACACATTTCTGCAATTGAACACAATCACAGGAATTGAATAGGAAAACTTGGCACAGCCTGTATTTACTCACATGATGCAAATGGAAAGTACATACCTTAACTCATAGTAGTTAGTTAAAGTTAATTGTATTAGTTTAGCACAGGGACATGACTTACTAAAGAAATAGAAACTGTTCAACTAGCATAGTGAATGTTGACTTTGCAAAGTGTATGTATAACTCCTAACTATCCCTCACTTGGAGGGACTGTCCCTTATTTGCAACCAAATCCCTCTGTCCCTTTTCCTGAGGTCCCCAGCAAGCTGCCTGAGGATCCTCTCAAGAGTGGGACCTCCAGCAGTCAAATCTATTAAAAAGTTTATAGGGCCGGTATTGGCTTATGTATCGGGCATGTTCATGAGTACAAGTACTCATGAAAATGCCCTGTATTAGCCCCAATACTAGTATAGGTATCAGGACATCCCTAATAGATATGAAATTGTACTATTTAACCACCAAAAGTGTTATTCTTCATCTAAACCGTTATCTTATCTCTTAATTATCCTGTTTGCCATTTTGAACAGTATAAAGGAAACATAATGGTGAAAAAAAGACAATTCTGGGTTTAACCAATCAGTGTTAGCATAAACATTCTCTAATTCTTCACATAACTGGGAGTATGGCAGGGGTGCATACATTGTCTAAGTACATTGTGCTGGAACTTGTCCCTCTTTCTCATCTCAGAAAGTTGGGAGGTATGTTGTGTGGAAGTAGATAGGGTGAATCTGTGTTTATGAATACCTATTTATGTGTAAGGACAGCATGATTGAGTATTGAAAATGAATTTAGGATTATCCTTTGGAAAGTGAGCATACGCTTTGATAAGTGAACAGCTTCTACTCCTTTGGTAAACCAAACCTAATGTATATATTAAAACAAACCTGTCATCAAGATTAGCTTTTTAAACAAACCTTGACAGGTAGCACTAGTTGTCAGTACATGCTGAGGCTTCTTAAGGTGTCATGCCAACATCACATGCTGGGAGTCTCCAAACCAGCAAAACATGCAGTGTGCAAATATCCTCTTCCCTGTCATGCCCCTACTGCATCCCTCAATAGGTTGCTGAGGTGCCCCCATCCTGGGATGCCACTGATGTATACTTCAATTCAAACTATAAACAGAACATTAATGAAGAAGCCGGGCAAAAAGTAGTCCCACTGCAAGGATTAAGTGCTTATTTTGCCTATGGTGCTAAAATAACAAAGATATACTCACCCAAACCTAGATCCTGCTTACTTCTAAACCGGTCCCTTCACCCTGTTTCCCCCTGCACTCCAGCGGTCTAATATCCTGTGAGTCATCATGTTCTATACAGTGTATTGGACATGAGGATGCCGTGGGACATTTCATCGCCGGAGCAGAGGGGCAGCGAGGCCGAAGAGACCGGTCTAGGAGCCAGCCGGGATCTCGGTTCGGGTGAGTATAACTTTGTTATTTTATCTTTCTAGGCAAAACAAGCACTTACTCCTTGCAGTGTAAAGTTAGCCCCACTGCAAGGGTTATGTTGTATTTGCCTGGAGTTCTTCTTTAAAAATAAAAGATTTAAGGGGACTGAAATTCCAAAGACATCTTCCCAAAGACTACCAAAAATGTGAAACCTTTTATTCCTGTTCACATTAAGACATTACTAAATTCATATTTTTACAAGGTCAGGTGCAAATACCAAGGTTCTCTTTTTCCTTATCTATACACACAATGTCCCCCTTGTGATTCTTAACCTCAATTCAAATTTACTTATGTTATGTGCTAAGAGGATTATTACAAACACTTGTGTCATGAATACCTAGACAGCAGCTGCATGGACCAAGATGTTTTATCACATTGAAATATATCTGTTACTTTGCTTTTTGAAAAACAGATACATTACTTTCGTTCTTTAGTTTGATATATATATATAATATTCCTATAAAAATAAAAGCTCTCTGTAAGATCACATGACAGAATAAAAAAAAAGAGGTTAAAAAAGAGAAAATATAGAGAACTAAAGAAAGTACAGCTGTGATCAATTGTAGAAAGGAATGCATTGTCTAAATACTGTGTGCATAATAGGTGCAGTGATCTATTAATATGCAGAAAAGTAGTCAGATTCAGACATTAGCAAGTGCAATGTGTTCTCAAGGACACTTTAATCTGCTGCTCCTCATTATCTGTTGGTTTTAAGGCTTACAAAGTTCTCTGAAAACTAAAATGTTTCGAGTTTCAAACTGAGTAACAAGTTTTAAGCTAATCTACATTTTGCTGAGAGACTCCTGAAGAGTAAAAGCGATGCATAACTAAAAGCGATACCAATTTCACAATGACTACATACAAATAAACAGGATTATACAATTCATATTACCTGCAATGTTGTTTTCTCTCTTTTGAAAGATTGTTGTTTAAGTCTGTCGAGTCTTGTGCAAATTTATCCTTAATGTTCCCGGATTTCATGAACAGCTTCCATGGGCACATCATTGTTCAGATAGTAGGACCTTCACAGCCCTTACACGAAGTGTAAAAAAAAAGTCTCTCACAAGGGCTGGGCTTCTAGATGACAAAAAAAAAAAAACATCCTAGTTAGAAAAACATATCGCTTTTATTGAAACCAGGAAGAACATTTGTTTCTCTCAGTAATAAAAAGTAACATCCTCTGTAGTTGAAATACATGACCTTAGTACATCATTAGGTGGGTCCAAACAGATGGTTATGCAAATATCATGACAATTACCTTTAACATTTCCTGGCCCTTTTTTCATATTACACTTAACAATTTGCAACAGCAGTGTTTGGTGGCATTGGCAGTGGAAGAGGTAAATATATAGGGGTCTATTCACTAAGCTGCTGACGGCAGCCGAGTGAATAACCGACCCGAAGTGAAGTGAGCCGAACGCTGTTCAGCTATTCACTGCAGGCTCTACGGCTGATTTCAGCCGTGTATCGGCTGAAATCAGCCATACATCGGGTGGCTTTGGGTCGGCCAAACATGCTCAGCATGTTCGGCCGACCCGAATTGCAGAAAGAGTTCGACTCAGCCGATCCAACATCGGGATCGGCTGAGCCGAACCTCCGGCAGGCTACTTGCTGCTGTTCGGCCTATTCTCATAGATGCCGAACAGCAGTGAATGAATAGCCGAATGCCGTTGAGCGGCATTCAGCTCGGCTATTCTGCCCGGTACCTCTGTGGTACCGAGCAGAATAGAAAAATAGTTTAAAAAGTAGAAAAAAATTAGAAAATGATTGTGCGGAGCTAGCAGTGACAGCTAGCTCCGCCCAACTGTTTTCTATTTGCCAGGCGGTTCTGCTGCCGTCAAAACAAAAAAACACCATAGAAATGCATAGCTAGATTCCTATTGGCTATTTCACTTTGCAATAGCCAATAGCAAACTCGCTATTGCACCCGCCCTCTGCCGCTGTCAATTACCAGAGGGGGACCTGATGGAGAACTGCAGGTTCTCTGCTGATTGACAACAGCAGTGGGCGGTTGCAATAGCTAGTTTTCTATTGGCTATTGCAAAGTTAAATAGCCAATAGGAATCTAGCTATGCATTCCTATGGTGATATCATAGTGGCCCGGCCGGGTTCTCAGTGTGTAATGACAGTGTCCCTGGTTACCTTGTAACCAGGGACACTGATCTCTCTGAAAGTGGCCGAAGCCAGCCGTGATATGACGGCGGGCTCCGCTCAGCTGTCAGAAGCAGGCTGTCGGCCGGCCGATGGCCGGTCATTCGGCCAGCTTTGGCTTTCACCACGGCTCAGTCCAGCCAAGGCATATGCCTTCAGCTCGACTGAGCCGCTCGGCCAACTTCGGGAGCTGTACGGGGTATAGTGAATAGCCCGTACAGCAGTCCTTCGGTTCTACTGAATCGAAGGGATCCTGCGGCCGAAGATAGCCGAAGGATCAGCCGAAGCTACGGCTAGATCCTTCGGCAGCTTAGTGAATAGACCCCATAGTTTCTTGGCAGAATTATCTTTGATTATAACTATTTTTTAAGCAGCAGAGCCCCTTTAAGACTAGTAGAGTTGATGTGTACTTACTGCATATATGGAAAGAATAGTAATATTGATCTATAGGTAACAGGTGGCTTGGACATGGAAGGCTGTTCCCTCGCAGTGCTGGAGTTATGGGTTTAATTCCCACCAAGGACATGATCTGCATGAGGATCTGCATGAGGTTGCATGTTCACTCTGTGTTTGAGTGGGCTTTTGTTCTGATATTTGATTGCCTCCCACAACTTTAGACCGTTATAAGCAAATTGGTCCTGAAACACACTGGCTAAAGAGTGTTCGTGACCGTGGTTGGAAGTGTCTCTGCTCACTTCTGCAGGTGATCAGTTGAATAAATGTTTGCTGATCTCGTGCTTTACTCAACCAAGATGGAAGTACTGAGTTGGTAATGTGTCCCACTGCCAGAAAAATATAGGGGACTTTATCAATGACCTCACTCTGCATACTACATCAATTATGGGGTTGAAAATTAGTGCATAATAAACCACCAAATGTGTTTAAAAAACTGCTCAGGGAGCCTGTGCTCTGTAGAGGCTCTTTGCCTCTAACCCATGGACCACTGGTGTAAGAATGTGCAGTACCCAGCAAGTATTCTGCTTTGGAAGCAAGAACAGGAGAGAACAGGGGAATGAAGGGCATCAATTATGCTCCCTGCTATGTCATACACATACAAAAAGGAACTACTATTCTTTTCCTGGAGTCAAAGAAGCCCATTCCACAATCCCCTGCATTCTCTGAAGCCAAAAAAAGGTGTGATCTCCACTGTACCCTGTACAGACACACACTGGATGTCTTTAAGTTAGGAACAGCAGGCCCATTCTCTAGGACGGAGTGTGGGCTTTGCATATATGTTGTAAACATTATGTAGACGTTAAGTAGTCCCAAGGACCTGTACATCCTAAAGTTTTTCTTTACTGGATTGCCAAATCTATGGGGGTTATTCCCTAAAGAGCCAAAGGATGTAGCCAAACGTTCAGCTAATCCTTGGGCTCGCTCCGGCTGCTGCAACCCTTTAGTTTAGCCGAACCGAAGGGCTGCTGTATGCGATATTCTCAATAGCGCGTGCAGGAGCCGAAGCACACAGCCTAACTGAACGCACATGGTTCAGCTTGGCATAGACGAACACACAGCCGGAGTGTGGGAGAATGGTCTGCCAAAATGATCCAAATCCCTACAAATTTTTTAAACATAGGGAAAAAAATGTGTGGGATTCCTCTCCCCAATTCAATTTTAAGGGGGACCCCAATGCCAAAAGAACAAAAACTGAAATTCCATACCAGACCCTTAATCCGAGCACTGGCCTGGCAGGACAGGAAAGGGGGGGGGGCAAGATAGTGCCCCCCTTCTTGCACCATACCAGGCCACATGCCCTCGACATTGGTGAAGTAAAGGAGTTCACATTACAGGCTGACAATATTGCCCACTACAGGCTGAAAATGATGTTTCCCATTGCGGGGCAGTCGCTTAGTGGTGTGGCCTGCAACAGGAAGTAATATTAGTGACAGGATATCCAGGTAAGAATCTTCACAACAGGTTAAAAAAAAACAATATTCTTAAGATAACATACAGCGAGACGTGATGCCAAACATACTAAAATAAGGTTTTGGGTTTACATACAATGTAAGGGAAAACCAATTCCCTGATCCAAAACTAAACTTCAGATTAGAAACATTAGAAAATCTTAGTCAAATCAGAACTCCTGATTGTCATTTTGTTACAGCCTGACAAAGAACTGTAGCCACTGGGTCTTCATGACAGCCAGGCAACTAGCATTTCAGAAGGAGAGTTTAATACAGATTTCATTACATTGCCAAAAAAGTGCAATGAAAGGTGTGGCACATTCTCCCGGGAGATGGCATCCTATCTCAACAGTATTCTCTGTCAGTTCTCAATATCCACACACCTGTTTTGAAAAAACTCACTTAATAAAATATCTGTATTCATAATAGTAATAATATTACTACAGCTACAGCTACTACTACAACTACTATTACTAATAATAATATTGCTAATAATAATCATCATCATCATATTATTATTAATAATAATATGATGATGATGATTATTATTAGCAATATTATTATTAATAATAATATTGCTAATTATAATCATCATCCTCATCATCACCATCATCATTACATTACTACTACTAATGATGATGATAATAATAATAATAATAATAATATTACTATTACTACTACAACCAATAATAATATTACTACTACTACTTCTACAACTAATTATAATAATACAAATATGCTTTGGTCTCTGTGTGTGTGTAGCTGTTTTCATTAGGTAATTATTGTGAAGTTGTGACTTGATTGCCATTGAGCTGTTGATGCCCTGGCATGCACACATAGGTTTTAGTATATAATTCCCTCTTTCCCCCCCCACATATAAATGCATGTTTGGATATATAGTGCAAGTGTATTAATCAGATAAAGTAACATCTTCCAGGAGTCTGTCCGTCCCTGCACTACTGTCACCATGTTAAGCTAGCTGTACACAGTTCGAATTTTCAGTTCAGCAGGAATTGGTCAAAATGTAAAAGCTGTGGGTGGCCCTGCCACCTCGTCAAAAATCAATTTAAAAATCAGCTGAGCCAAGTGAAGAATTTTGGACCAAAGAGTAACTGCAATCTATCAGCTACAGTCACTCTTCAGGTATTCTGACAGCCGTGGCTACAGAAGCTGTCTGAATACAATAGCCATCAGGGGATATGCTTCCATCCTCCGTGAAGGAATCTAGCCTGAGCAGCTCTACACAGCTTTTTGCTAAGGTGGCTGAGACTTCAATAAAAGGCACATTATTGGCTGATAACATGGCAATTACAGCATTCATTTAAAAAGTGAAAGTGAATTCAGTTTTGTCTTAAACTCACCACAAACATTACAATCTGACTGTACAATGTTCTTTAGTTCTACCAACTACCTTGTAGTGCCAGGGCCTTTCTAATTAGATACAAATTGGTTGGATAATTTATACAGGTTCTCATATTACATAGATTTGGTGGCCCGGTAGCCACAGATCCTTAAAAAAAAACACATTCTGGCACCAAACTTTTGAGTTTTTCGCTAGTTGCTGTCAATGGAGCTGACTCCTAAAAATAATCCTGCTGGCTCCTGGATTGACAGACTGGCTCATGATTCCCAAATTAATTTGTCCACCCCTGTCTTAACAACACTGTTATCTTGTGTCACTAGCAACACAATGGGGGGAATTTACTAAGGCTGGAGTAGACAGAATCTGCAGCTTCTATATTTAATTTTCAAGCTTTAATTGAACCAACTGGAGAGAAGTTGATTGGTTACTATGCTCAGGTGCTCCGGATTTTGTCTGCTCCAGTTTTAGTAAATTCCCCCCATTCTCTTTAAACAATAATGCTATATTACTCATATTAAGTACTTGGTGAACATGCACCCTGAAGTATCGGTACTAATAGACATCTATTAATGTCCTTAGTATATATA